CGGTGACATCAACCATCGAGAGTAAGGACTAACACAACACCATTAACAGCAAGACAAAACGGAGAAGAACAAGGACTATAGCAATAGAAAAATAACAAGGAACCACAACAACCAACATCAACAACCGAAAGGAAAAACAAATGAGAGAAGAAACTCACCGAAGATTCCAAACGTCATAGGAGAACTAAAAATATCGAAGGTATATTTTTAGATTTAGGAAATTCCTGGGGTTTTTTGGGGAAACGGAGACCGGAATCGGCCTTAGAGTGTCAAGAGAGCTAGAGGTATAGTTGGCATGCCAAGAGTCGAGGGTCTACGCGGTCCTTCGGGATATATATGTATTCTTTGGAACATGTATGAGGTCTTTTGAGACACATATTTGGTCCTTAACATATGTATATGATTCTTAAGGAATTTTCTACGTGTTCCTTAGGGACATTTTATATGGCACTTCGGTGCAATTCTACGCGGCACTTCAGTGCAATTCTACATGGCACTTTGGTGCATTTATACGAGATGTGGTGACAGCATTAGTGCACAACCTCTAATGACTCATATATCAATAGTTCTCACATATGTACATGGGCTAATCAAGAGATAATAACAAATATATGTTGTGATATGATAAATTTTATAGCAAGGACATGATAAGGTATGGGTATAGTATATGATTAAGAAGGTTAAATATATGTGCTATGTGATTTAATGATAGGTGACTAATGATGATTCATATGTATGCATGTATTTCTTATTAGATAATCTGATATTATTTATATGATGATGTTTTTATTGCTTAGTTAATTGAATCATATGTTGAGTAAAAGAATAAATATAAGAGAATATAATTATAAGATATAAATGATAAGAATATTGATAGTGGAATAAGGTTAGAGATGAAAACAATGTGTGATATATATATATGTGTATAGTACGTTATATATAATGTTATATTGTTTTGATGTGGCATTATAAGATGATATGTTCATGCATGTGTAATTAGTTAGAGTTCTTTTATAAATTAATGCCTCACTAAGTCATAGACTTAGCGTGTAAGTGATTTACACATAGGTTTCAAGAAGAGTAAAGAGCGATGTGGAGTAAGACAGGTCAGCAACTCCTTACTAAAGGTCAGATCAAAAGAGAGGTGAATGATATGTATTTTAATATATAAAGTTTTAGTTGGCATGTATTCAAAAGAATATATTGTATAAGCTCTGAATGGTTTTGTAAACATTTTGAATAAGTTATATGTTATAAAAGTTTTAAATTACTCACTAATTTATACAAGTAAATGTTTTGAAAAGTCAATGTGACACCTCGGATCCGGATCCGGATCGGATACGGGTTGGGGGTGTTACAGGGTGTGTGCGTAATTTCCCTCAGGAGTAAACCCCGTTCGCAGTGCTCCAAGTTTGTAATCTTTACGATTTAGTCACTGCAATTAATTTCAATATGTTTTAAATTTTGTCTTTTAATTTTGTTTTATTTATAATTTAATCTTTGCCTGATTATTTATATATTTAGAGTAAATAATTGATTTAGTCCCTTATTATTTAATTAATATTTATTTTAACCTGATTAATTAATAAAGGATAAATTACACTATTGACATCTATATTTTATGATAATTCGAATTAGGCCATTAATTTATATATTTTACATTTTAATCCCTAATAGGTTGATCATTTTTATTTAATATGTTTTGCAATTTAATTTTATAATTTTAATTTCTTTTATTTTGATCATTATTTAATTGTAATTTTATTTTGTTTTTATTATTACTTTCGATATGTTTAAATTATTACTTTAATTATTATTTTATTAATATTTTCATATTAGTCATATAAATATATATATTTTTTAAAAAATAATAATATTTATTTATTTTTAAATATTAAGAAAGGACAATCTTAATATAACTAGATGTCCTATTTCGATAATTTTAAATAAATAAATATTGTATTTATGAAAAAAAAATATATATATAGTAATTTTAGTTCTATTCAAATTATTATATTTTATATTTATTTAATTTTAGTCATATTAATATATGTATATTAATAAGTATTATTTAATTAATTTCACCAATTAATTAAATAAATAATATTTATTTATTTATAATTACTAAGAAAATGCAGTCTTAAAATAACTATACGTCTTATTCTGGTACTTTAAAAATAAATAAATATCATGCTTATAAAAATATATATATTTACTTCATTATTTTTAGGAAATTTATGATATTCTTATTATTATTTATTTATTTATTAATATTAAAGAAAAGACAGTCTTAAAGCAACTAGATGTCTTTTTCTGATATTTTTAAATAAATAAATGTCCTATTTACAAAAGCCTATATATATATATATATATTTAATACTTTTTTCCTTAGAAATATTATATTGAATTTGAAATAACACGATCATAAATTAAATTTATATTTAAATTCTTAAATTCTATTATTAGAGACAATTTATAATCGACAGGGACCAATTTTGGGCGTTGTGGGAGTGCTAATCCTTCCCCAAATGTAACCGACCACGAATCCCTTTTTATTATTAAAAAGAATGAATTTTTGGTTAAACGCATACCAGTTTATCTTTTAACTGATGTTTTCTTAAAAACTCTTTTAAAAGATGATTTTTAGGTATTCGACCTACCTGACCCAAAAGACCGATGGCGACTCCCAAAACATTTCAATAAAAACTATTTATCCACATTATTTTTCCCGCCAAGTAAAATTTCGTGCCCGGACGAAAATCGGTTACGACAACATGTTTTATACAAAATTGTAAAATTTATCCGGAACTTTTCATAGTTTAAGAGCTTAAAGAAACAAAAGGAGACATAGTTAGGGATTTTTTAGCTTGAACTAAAAAACATTGATCCTGAGTCGCCTGATATATATATAGAAAGACATTTGAATGCTCACCCATTTTTTAGATTTATAAATTTTTTTAATACAAATACAACATAAAGATCGAAGCCTTTGACTATCCCACACCGAAGAGTTATTTTCGGTTCCTAGCAACTCACGTGAACTCATTACATTTACCTCTCAAATAATCAAAAGGTGGGCCATTATCTTGCCGTGACTACATCCACAACTGTAAAATATATGTTAACAAAAATAAGGAGTCGTGGAAGATTTTTGGTTAAGCCACATCCGAAACCTTTTATGTATTCACCAAGTTGAAGAAGAAGCGCAAGGAAAAAATATCGATTGAATCGCCAATTTGGGTATTTGGCAAGGTTAAAGAACAAATCATGTTATGGATTCAAACAGTAATCAAGTTGGGAAAAAGAAACTTTTTAGTTCTCAAGTTAAAACATTTCTATGATATCGAAAATGGACATTGGATGATGAATGAGTTTTCTCTTCTAAACGATGATCAATTACATTGTTTATATGATATTATTGTTTACGTTGTTAAAGTTATTAGCATTTACACTAAGTTATTCTTTCTATTTGGTTTGTTGATTTTTGTTTATAGGTTGAAGGTTGGGTGTTAAGTCGAATCTAAAAGAAAAAGAAAGAAAAAAAACCCTCCGACCATGATGAAGATGACCCCATTGTTAACCCTCTCAAAAGGACCCTCCCATCGGTTTACTATGCCGACGACAAAACTAGAGAGCTTTCAACGAGCAAGAGATTTTGCAATGAGCTTACAGAATGTCGTTGTGCATAGTTATCTACAGCCAACCCTTTCATTACATCAACAACAGCAGCAGTGAAACATACTAGGGTCAATGGGAGATGAGGTTTTTCATTCTCATCCTCAATATCATCTTCCAGGGCTCAACTGTGCCGAAGTCGAAGCTGCAGTGCATTGGACGAAATCATCAACATACCAGGTTCATGGCTTGTATTGAGCAAATAATGTAATGGGTTTTTTGTATTAATAAATTATTTGGACACTATTTTCCGCCTTCCGCTGTTTGAGTAGTAGCCTCTGAACTCTGATATAAGGGAGGATTTTAAGAAGACCTCTTTTTTCCCAAAAAGAACCACGTTTTAATTTATCTGCATTCCATAGATATTCTTAAAATCTTTAATCATTTTATTGTAATTATAACATTTTCTAGTAATATTTTAGTAACCAAGCCTGCCCGTTAATAAAAATGAATTCGTTTAACCATTTTTTTAATTCAATCAGATAATTTAATTAATAGAATAAACAACTATTAGCAGTAAAATACAAAGAGTTTAAACCCCAACACCAACTAAAACGTCTCACACCCAAGTCTCCAGTTAAAAAGCAAGGCTTAGAATCGATTTATACTACTAGATCCAGCTGAAACTCACACAAAACATAAAATTCTGCAAAACGCCTCCAAATCAAACTAGTTCCATCAACATAGTTTAAAGAAAGTATCATCTTGGATGGCTTTGGCCTCCCACAATCAAGGGCTGGTAGCTTTCTAGCTAGAAATTATAAGAGAGTTGTCAATGACCACATGCTGCAATTGGCTAAGTGAGAACCAAGCCTAATTCAGCGACCGGTGTTGATGAGGTTTGTTCAAGTTTATTGGCTTTCAATCAACCTTCCATTGCAGTCTCTCACCAAAGCTCTAATTCCTTCTACCTTCATCATCTCGTCAAAGGATGCATCAAATATAACTTAAGTAAATTCTGTAGTGGACAGCTCTAATTCCTGCTACCTTCATATTCTAATCTTTTTTTTTCTTCTTCTGGTATTATAATTCATGTTGATGTCATATTGTGTTAAAATTTAAAGGATCTGGTTTTTAATAAAGAAGCCATTTAACCAGCTTTCATTTCATCTCAGACCTGAACCAGAATGCAACTCAAGTTGCCACTTGTTTACAGTTTTCCTACTAGCAAAACAACTGCAGTTCCAGTACAAAATTGCAATGAAAGAAATTGTCATACATGGATTACTGCTAATAGCAAAAGCAATGCTTTTCTCTATTTTGGTGATTCTTTCAGCAGCTTAAAACTGGGAATGTACTTAGGATCATCGCACTGCATATGCTGATCCAATGGCTCTGGACTAGCTGCAAAAGAGTCGGAATTTCCAAAACAACATATGTTTTGGAGGAGATGGCTCTTCGATCAGCATCTCAGTCATTTTGTTCGATTCGGCATACCTTGGGGGACTCATAGGCTGTAACATAAGTAAAACCAGTATTCTTAATGCATATGCTAAAGCTACGAGACAGCTAAAATGATTTGAATGTTTTACCTCCAATATGTTTGACAATGAATATTCCTTTGCAGATGCTGAATGTTTGGAGAAATCTGAACAGAAAACATGCGTACAAAGGTGTGAGTATTCATTCATCAAATACTAACGCAAAGTAAACATATGAATGCCTAGCAAATTTCTTTACCATCTAATCCAAGAATCCGCAAAAATTCATTAGTGCTTATAGCTCTTTTCTGTGTTTTGATGCAATCTTCATGATTGTGCAGACACCCTTCCTCTGCAATATCTTCGAGTTGACATCGATCCTCGTCCGGATTACCCAACTTTGCCTTTTGGTTCTTCTTTGATGTTCCTTGCGAGTATGGCTTACCTGAGTTGGAAATGTCAGAGAGAGCTTTCCTGGCAGTTGCTTGCACTTTCTCAGCTTTATAGACACTCTTTGTTTTGCTTGAATCATGTGTGGGATTAAAGATACCAATCTCTTTCTCAATGAATGGAATGCTTTTGGCATTCTCCTTATTTGATGACTTCACTGAAATGGATAGATCACCAAGTGGTTTTCTTCCACCAGTACCAGCTTTCCTCTGTGCTTTAGAGACATTGGTCTTGCCTGATAGGAAGCATTTTCCATTATCAAACTCAACTTGAGAAACAAAATTAACAAAACCATCAACAGATCAGAAAGTGTTGAGAATAGTACCATTGAACCGAGCATTTAAATCCTGATTTTGAATCAAACCAACAGTACGTGTTGCCATTTTGGAAATTTGTTGATACAATCCACCAAACCAACAGTACCTGTGAGGTTCCAATACATAAGGAATCATACATATACGGGGGGAAATAAAATCAAACAAGCAATAGTGGAGAAAGAATGCTAAATCCTGCAGAATAACCTGAAGTATCTTTGAAAGGCTCTTTTTACATTAAAGCTTCATCTGAAGCACATGAAATCAAGAGTATTACTTAGTTCAAAATGAAAATTGCAAGTAAAATCCAAACTCAATTTGCAAAACCCAAAAATCTTTCGGTATCTAAGACAAATGTGGTGAACAGGATGGGACAAAAACCGAACTAACGTGATAATCACAAAGGAAAAGACAAACAAAGAAACTAGAATAATCATGTTCATACAGTTTAAAATGATCCATTTAGTCCTTTCTGTTCTAATGATGATACAGTCGAGGATTTCTTTAAGTTAGGAATTATATTTCCTCTCCGTGTTTTCCATTCACTACAAGCCCCGAGATCATCAAATCAGCCCCACAAAAGTAAACCCAGAAAGGGAGAAAAGAAACATAGGATACAACAAACTTACAGATCATTCTTGGAAAAAATTTTATTTCCTTTTTTCCATTCGTTTCTCAACAACAAAACAGAAATTCTTGTTTTCGTGTTTTTTTCCATGACAAATGCTTTAAATCGCCTTTGCATTCTCAGAATAAGTTTGGAAAACATAAAAATATATACTTTGATAAGTTTTCTTTCGGATAATACAGATCTTTCTTATCTGTGTTTCTTCCATTAAAATAAACGAAACATTGCTCAAGAAAAAATAACTTCATCAAGAAATTAAACACAAACAAAAACCCGCAAAAAGGGTATAGAGAAGAAACTCACAATGGGTTTTTGACGAGTCAATGCTTCTTGCTTTTTTATCACTGATTCAGGCGCTTTGCTTTGCTATTTGGATTTGTTTGTTATCTTCTTTGAAATATATTTCGAAAGACAGGAATTCCATATCCGCTTACAAGAAGAGGAGTGCAACGGTAACGTTTTCAGCTTTTACAAAAATACCCCTCCGTGGGCTTACAATTAAATAAGCTTCGGATTTCTCAATTGGGCCAAATTCGCTTTTGCAGAAAAATAAAGATGCTTATACTGTTGTTTCGGCTTTTGGTATAGTGATAAATTTAATCTATAATGTTTATTATTTTTTTAATTTGACCCTTATTTTTTATCTACTGTGACCTCAGTGGTAGAAGAATTATTGTTATTTCTTGAGGTATTGGGTTCGAGCACTAAGAATGCTAGGGGTGTGAGTGTTTAATGTCAAATAGTTGAGAGCTATCTTTGAACATATAGTATATTGCATTTACTCTCAAATTAATCAGAAAACAAATCCCCACCTAAATATTAGTGTAAATATATATTTCTCAGCATGCTCTTCTCTGGTATGGGTTATGTAGAGTACAATGATAGTGACCAAAAATATAGTTTCATATCTTATTCTTCGAAATATCTAAAATTTTATATTCTCTAACCAATTATGATTTTTATGTGATCATCAATATGTTCACGTGATCTACTAACTTTGACAATTAAGTCTATTTATATTGTTTATAGATAATCGTTATGACTTTACATTTGACACTGATATTAAGAATCAATATAAAATCATTTTGTCAAGATCGAGAGAAAGATTTGGATTATCCTTTTTTATTCATTTCTCTTATATTCCCTAGGGAACAAAAAACTTTAACACCGATTAATTATCATCTTACCATTGATTGCGATTCTCCATCTCAATTAGAAGAGATGAATATATTAATAGAGACAATTTATAATTAATGAGTACAATTTTGGGCGTTATAGGGGTGCTAATCATTCCCTAAACATAATCGACCACGAATCCCTTTTTACTAAAAAATTTTGATTATACGCAGATCAGTTTATCTTTTAAATTATGTTTTCTTAAAAACTATTTTAAAAGATTGTTTTTAGGTATTTGACATATCTAACCCAAAAAGGTCAATGGCGACTCCCAAAATATTGTTTTTCAAAATCATTTATTTATTTATTCACATTATTTTTCCGCCAAGTAAAAATTCGTGCCTGGACGAAAACTGGTTACGACAGCTTGGCGACTCCACTGGGGACTTGGTCAAGCTTTGAAATTAATTATAAATTGTCTCTATCAATTAAAAATTAAAAATTCATATTTATTTAATTTATAATTCTTTTCTTTCAAAATTTTTATTACTTATGATTTTTCATAATATTTATTATATATTCTTTTTTATTAATTCCTTTTTATTATTTTCATATATTTCTTTTTATTATTTTATTTGTTTGTCAGATGTTTGAATATTTCTCCTCACATACAACACTTGCATTGCATAACATAAGCTTTATAATCAAGCTTGTCCCTTTTAAGTGGGAGTGAAAGCGACGTCTTCGTGAGAATTTATTCTCCATGTCAGACCTAACAAGTAGCTTGGGGTTCATATGCTCTATGTCTTCGTGAGAATTTATTCTCCGTCTCAGGCATAGGAAAATGTGTCCCCTCGAATTGAACTCGATCCGTTTAAGTCTGTGATGGACTAGGATTGAGGGATTGGCAGCCTAAGGGGGCACCAACAAGGACAGTTCGAGTACCTTTACTCCTAGAACTGAAATCCTGCATATAATAAACCATAGAAATTCTCCTAATTTAAGACAATGTTGAAACTATGTTCGTAGGTGTACACAAAGGAGAAATAAGTTCTAGCTTTTAATTTATTCCTTTATCCTAAATAAATACCTACGAACTAGTAAGCATGCGATTAGGTTCATTTTTCCAAACAAAGCATGGAACTAGAAAGCATGTGGTTAGGATTTATACCATGATAGATATGATCTTTTCTTTCCATTAATTGGTACTAACCAATTTATTTTTTTCGTTTCTCATTTTTATTTTTCATACATTTTGGTTGCTCTAACTTGCTTATATTGATTTCTTTTGTTTGCATTGCATGATCATAGCATAACCAAAAGGTGTTGACTTGAAAGATTGTTCATCAAATTGGAAAGAATTCATAAATGGACAAAAAGTTTTATGATCAAACAAAATATGACGCAACCAAAGAAATACATCCTGAGGAACCTCCGAGGATCGAGGGGAGTTCTGCACACAAAGATCCGGTTATATTAATACCAAAAGTATTACACAAAGACCATGCCAGATTAATACCAAAAGCAACCTACAGTAAGAGCATCAGTCGATGCATTCAGAATAAATGAGGTTTTTATGAAGCTCAAGCATGTTATTTGAAGGATCAAAACAATAAATTGAGCACAGAAATGGAAACCATGCATGAAGATTTCCAGAAGATCAGTCAAGCCTTTCAAAATGTTGGCATAGGAAATACCCAGAAGAGTTGATAAAATGGGTCACCAAACTGAAAAAGAACTGCAACTTATATGAAGATCTGGTCCAAGAGCTTCTTGGACAGAAAGGTTCTCTTATAAGGGAAAATAAACAACTTCGAGAAGAGACACAGAAGATGAAGAAAAAAGAGAAGGTCATGGAAGAAGCTGCAATCCAGACAAGGAATATGGCCCATAAGCTGATAGATTAACTTGGCTTTAGAGAAGAAAATGGGAAAGTTATTCCACATATGTAAAGTTTTGTTGAAGTTAGGACTGAAAGATGTCCCCTATATGTAAAGTTTTGTTTGATGCACAGAAACTTTTGTGTTCAATGAAATCTGTTCTAAGATGATCACTTTTGAGTAAACACCTTTTCATACATGCATTTGCATTTTGCATCTTTACATTTTTTACGTTTGTATTTACATTTACATCTTTGCATAGCTACATCTATATTTTCAAACTTACATCATGCATTAAACATATTTAATTAAATAATAATGTTTATTTATTTTCAATATCAAAGAAAAAGGCAGTCTTAATATAATTGGATGTCCTATTCTGGTATTTTAAATAATTTACATTTACATTTTTGCATTTGCATCTTTGCATTTGTATTTTTATGTTTGTTTTTGTATTGCACAATTTGCATTCTTATTATTACATTCACATATTTACATTTGCATTTGGCATCTTTGCATTTTTATGTCATCATACATTAAAATATTCATTCATTAAAATAAGGATTTCAACCGAAGTGAGCTTGGTTCTTCCTTGTAGCAAGAATGCTTAGCACGACACAAGAAAAATGTCTAAAGAAACTGAGGATAGGCTAGCCAAATTTGAGATAGAGCAAAAAGAGAGGCATGAAGAATTGAGGAGCAAGTTGGCACAAATTGAAGCTAATATCACAAATTCTCATATCAATCTACTGAACAATATGAAAGAAATGATTGGGAAGCATTTGACTGCTGGAAAGAGTCTTGTTGAAAACTCCACAAATCCTCTGGGTGTTACACATGTTCACTTTCCTGAGCACACCTCTATACGTCAGGAAATTCAATCACCAGTTTACTTCGCTGTTAAGAACCCATAATATCAAGCTAGAGTTTCATTTTCCACTGATTGTCCTACTGATTCTTGGTTGAAGCCAAATGAATTTTGTACTGATAATGAGATCTCTGACCCAAATGAATTAGTTGAGAAGAAAAATTCCATCCAACAACTGGAAAATGTAGAAGAGGTGATAAAATCTAGAGAGACGGTTGAGTCATTTTATGGATTGGATGCCAAAAATCTAAGTTTGGTCCCAGACCTAGTTCTCCCACCAGAGTTCAAGGTTCCATATTTTGAGAAGTATAATGGGACCACATGCCCTTCATATCATATCACCATGTACTATCGTCGCATGACTGGCTATGTGGAAAATGAAAAGTTGTTGATCCACTGTTTCCATGACAGTTTATCTGGGTCTGCATCCAAATGGTATAATCAGCTAAAACGTACTCAAATACATTCTTGGAAAGACTTAGCTCAAGCCATTTTGGGTCAATACAAGCACATGGCTGATATGGCCCCTGATCG